CCTTAGACAACTTTTGGCCCATTATTATGGAACGGAATGAGGGGGGACTTACCAGGGAATCAGTCACTCATGAGCCATGAGGACGTTCCCAGACCAATGCCAGTCACAATTCAGCAAGCAGGACTTCCTTGACGGCGTGCACTGCCGTGGTTTCCTTGGGGGGGGTCTCCATTCGTTGAAAAGTCCATACCTCGAGCTGCCCGTTTGTGCGCCACCTGTCCCAGCCCTCAGGGCTCCCATAATTCGTGGGAGCCCTGAGGGCTCCAACTTAATTCCAAAGTGAACTAAGCCTGAAAATAATGGGGGGGAAAGAAAAGCGAGACCAAGCAGTTTTTCCCTGTCAAGGTCTGTTTATTGATTATGAACAAAGGTTGTTAAAGAGAAGGGAGGAAGTAAAGAAAGAGGAAGAGGGGGAGGAATGGGTGTTAAGAGTAGGTGTCCTGAACCTCCTGTGGTTATCTTGAACACTATCCTAAGAGGTGGGGTGCTTGACTAATTGGCGGTTTAGCATGGAGGTCGCCAAGCCTCTGTAAAGGGGACTTTTATATCTAACCAGGGCTGGCTCTTGACAGAGGACCAATTCCATACCCATGTGGTTGTGGTCTAAAGAGCTAGGGAGGATGAAAATACAAACTGTTCATATTTACTGTGTCACATGATGGTCTATCTTAATATATAATATGGACAGGTGCACAAATTTGTAGGCATGTATTGTTAAATTGGGATCATAATTATATTTTGTTCTATATAATTTATTTAAACAAATTAACATTAGACAATCATATCAGAAATATTGCCACCACCAAAATCAAAGTGTTGATGAGTGGACACTACCCAGAAGGCTACAGTCCTTGGAAATAAATCCACTCTGCTAAATTATGATTGTCCTTAAAAAAAAAAAAAACTGTGACATGAAGGCCATCTTCAGTGAAACAGGAAAGACTATAGGTGCAACAAAATTAATTATGCCAGAATGATGGAGTATGTAAAGAGACAAAAACAAAAGACAGAAGAGGAGGAAGAGGAGGAGGAAGGGGAGATGGTAATGGAATATAAGAATATGGGGGAAGAACAAGGAGGAGGAATAGGAGATGGTAATAGGGAATAAAGTCATTCTCAAAGGAGAGACACTGATGTCTTTGGGCAGAGTGGGTTCTGTGGAGAATTTGACACTACAATGTTACAAACAGCTGTAAAGAGCGAAGCTAATGTATTTAAATGTGGTTTGGCTGTTCTACAACAAAAGAGGTAAGTAAGTATGCTGAATATAGTGGAAACAGTGATGTGGTAGAATGTAGGATGGAATGAGAGGAGAACAGGAAAAATACTGGAGGAACAAATAGATAAACCCTGAAAGAGTTAGATATGTTCTTACAGATAAAGATGTACAGAATACAGTGACGTTGAACCTCTTCCAAACCTAGTCCCTTCTGTGAAAGCAGATAAAAGAGAACTTATTTTAAGAACAGACATTTTATCTATTGTCTCATAGTTTTAGACAATTACTCTATCCACAATTTGGTATAAGTACTTTGATAATGTATTTATGTACATTTTGTTTTCATTAATACTCATATTTAAATAGTTTTAATTTAATTTTGGGCATATTGATTCATAAACCACTTGAATATTTTAATAATACTAAAATGTATACAAGTATAATATTAAAATTAATCATGAGGTATGTAATAAACCCATTATATGTAGAAAATAATTATTAGGATAATTTTGATCAAGTTTTATTACTATATAATCATACTGAATATTTTCATGTATTTAGAGAAAAAAGAGCAGTAAAGAAACACCACTATAAGGTATATAGAAAAGTAAATCATTTTTGTAATATTAAGTTTCTTTTATATGCATATATATATATATATACATTATATTATAACATTGCAATGATCAATAATTTTCACACCATCCCTTGTGTGTATATTATGCAAATGCCATTATCACATTGAAAGTTGTAACAATGACCTATTTAGTCACATATAAGGGCTTTCAGTTCTGATATTCATGGCATTCACTTTTATTCATATCATTTAAATATATTATCAAAAATATGATTTAAATTTGCCATTTATTCAATAATTGTTAACTTGTTATTTGTTGCCTTCCAGGTTGTATAACATGTCTCAATAGAAGATAAAAAGAAGGTGTTAATATGATTAAAATACAACCTACCAACTGGAAAAACATAGTCAAAAAATAATTTGCAAAATACATTGGAAATTTCAGTCTTTTAAAGTTATAAGAAAAATTCTGTAAATTTTTGTTTACAGAATTCCAACTAGAAAATAGCTTTCTGAAGTAACATCTATGGGCAATATGGTGACAAGAAAAGATGAAGAGATCTCAAGAGTTCAAGTGAGAAATGTATAGGGAGAATGCAAGCCACTTTAACATCATAAGCTACTCTATACACTTCTATTCTAATGTGGACTAGATAAAATTATATTTTCTAATTATAGAATTTGAAATACAGTACCTGGCCTTGAAATTAATCCATCAATGTTTTTTAATAATATTCTAAAAAATTGCTTCTTAAATTATAATATGTATTGGAGTGGGAAAAGCATCATGTAAGAACTCTTAAAAGTCAGGAAAGATGACTCAGAAATTACAAGCAACTATTGTTCTGACAAAGACTGGACATCTTTTGCCAATTCCCAACTCCTTTAACTCTGGCTTCTGTGGTTGGTCTTTTCTTCTGGCTTCTGGGCACTCTGCTCACATGCACAAACCCATCCACACACAGATAACTCAAATCATGTATATGAGTTACACTATTCCACACAGTTCAATAATTTTAAGAAGTGAACTAAGAAGTGCTGGCGAAATGGACTATTCATTAAGAGCACTCCTTGCTTTTGCATAGGACCTCCAGTTGCTTCTAGGCATCCACATCAAGTGGCTTACACTTGCCAATAAGTCTATTTGCAGAAGAGGCAAACTCTTCTGAAACCAGTGGGCACCTGCACTGGTGTACATGCAGACAAGCATGTATATATACATAACCTTAAATATAAAATAAATTAATAAAAATGAACCTAAGTAAAGTTTTTTGTAAATATGGAGACAAATAATTTTTATTATTGTTAAGATAGAAAAGAAAGATAAGGCCAGAAAAATTGTGTTATCTTAGAAAACCCATGTACAGTTTATTATAACAGTGTTTCATTACAATGAAGATTTTAGTTCATCATTGACACTTTATAGCAATTTTCAGGATGATTATAAATTTTATTAATTTTCTGGTGTTGGGTATGTAATGAGTCATGGTTAATTGAATTATCAATGTTATAAATCAAATAGGAAAAATGAGGCACTTTGCATTCAAGACTACTTCACTTTTATGCAATAAAAAGAATAGCTGCAAAATTTATTTGTTTTTCAATTTCTCATATGTTAAACTTCAGCAACTATCACAGTTTAATACATACAATTTTAAAAGAATCATAATTCAAGCTAGAACTTTCACTATCATGTTTCTTTGTGCACTATTTTTTGTTATTACAGGTATTATTCTGCTGGGTGGGTTATGACACTATACTTTACAGTTTGGAATTATTTTTACACTAACTTTGAGAAGAGCATACTTAGCTTCTTCTAATCTTTAAATTATAGTGTAGGGGCGCTGGGGAGATGGTTCAGTGATTAAGAGCACTGGCTGCTTTTCCAGAGGACCTGAGAAGCTGAGTTCAATTGAGTTCAATTCACAGCAACCACATGAATCTAAAATAGGATCTGATGTCCTCTTCTGGAATGCAGGCATACATGCAGAGCACTCATACATAAAATACAAATAAATAAATTAATTAAAAATAAATTATTGTGCCTGTTGTGTGTGTGAGTGTGTATGTGGTGTTGGAATGCATATGGAGGTCAGAGGGCAAACTGTAACCTGAGTTTTCACTTTCCACCATGTGGATTCTGGGGCTCCAATTCAGGTTTCCAGGCTGGGTTGTAGTTCCTTGACTCAAAGAGCCATCTCACTGGCCCAAGAACACCATGAGTATTTTTAGACTATTTATGCAGTTTCTAATAATTTTAGTTCCTTTGCAAACTAATAATTGTCACTGGTAATTGTGTTAATAATAGTAAATATACTATGTCTAATTCATTGCTTTTCCAACTACAAGTTTATGTGTTTGTTTTGGTACAAATAATTCAGAGTAAACGCAGAATTCATTTCTTTTCATATCTGTCACATATATCAGTCTTTCAACTTATCATATTTTGTATAAACACAAGCTTATATATACCCCCACATATATCTGTATATATATTTACATTTGTATTTTACACATATGTGCATGCATTATGCATGAGTATAGATATAAATTTTTTACATTTACAAACTATTGTTCAAGTGTCTCCCATTTTGTCTTTGATGTGGCCACATGATTAAAACATATGCTGTTAGCCAATTTTGTCTGTACGAATGTTCAGTGTTTCCTCTTCTTGGATTCTTTTCATAAGTCTGTCACAAAGTGTAGCTCACCTTACAACTGTCTTCATACATATGCAATGACCTTAGCTGTAATCAGAATTATAATTGTTATATAAAACTTTGCAATTTTATAATTCATCCTATAAGGTGTCACTTTGCCAAAGAATAATATATATGAATGTGAACCAGTATGCAATAGGTTTGCAGATTACTGTATTCAGAATTGTAAATAATGAAAACACTCTGTTCTTTTTTGCTGTGGAATTTCAGATAAGAGTCCTCATAAGGAGCAGAGATAAAAGGAGAAAGCAAGAAATAATTCAAATGCAAAAAGCAATGCACTTCTCTGCAGCAGTTCTCAATAGTGTTATATATAGAAATCAGATCAGTCATTGTTTTCGAGCCTGCTAAATAAAACTGGACTGTTGGAATGGCATGCCACTTGACCTCTCAGGGCCACCACAGAAGTATTTAACTGCTGCAAAGGGAGCACTCTTGCAAGTGTCTCCTGTTTACATGCCAGATCGCCCTGCTAGTTCACACAATGTTCAAAAGGCACAAGTCCCTGGAACGCAAGAGGGAATTATTTCAGGGACTTCCACAGTCCACAATGAAGAATAATACGAGAAATTTCCACTCTTTGTCACAACTTGTCCTCTCAGCAGGCCCGCTAAGAACAACTCGAGCAGTCAAACTTTCAAAAACAACTCACTTTGAGATTGAAATACTGGATGCTCATACAAGAAAACAGATATGTATTGTGGATAAGGTAAGCTTTATCTATCTTTTAAAATGTTTCTTACTAGGCACAAAATTACTGAATTCTCATTTAGCTGAAAGAACTTTGCTAAATACATTTCTTATTTTTAACTTATTTTTTGAGTGAATAAGAAGATGGCTTATTTACTGTCACAGGAACTGTGACAGTAAATAGCAGGACCTATTTGCTACATTTTCATATGTACTTCAAAATAATACATTTAATTAAATTTTTTGCTTTATTTCCTGTTGTATTGCCTCATAATTCAGGAGTAAAACATTTAGGATGAAACACAGATTGCATAAAAGATTTTCTCTTCTTGCTTTTATAGCAATAAAATGTACATCATTTCACAGTGTTTGCTAAAAAAAAAAAAAAGGAAGTAAAAAAAATCCCAAAAGTTAAAAAGTATTTATCATGTATGTAGGCATTTTACTATATTGTTTTGAGTTTTTTATGCTTCTAAAATTTCAAATTTTTAAAGCACAGTCTTGAAACTCTTGAAGAGTATATCTGATTTAACACCGTCTCTCTGCATCTGCACACACAGATTTTAAAAATGAATGATGAAATCTGAGTGTCTTAGGTTAGAAAATTGTAGAACGAACATTGGAGATGTCAGCACACAAATCACTATCAATATGCTTCTCCTAATTTAAGGCAGTAATTTTAGTTTATTCCAAAGGTGAAGTTTTCAATAAAATTGTTTATTTTGTTCTATAGAAACCAAAATATTTGTTGTTTGTCTAAACAAATATCCAATCATTTATTCCATTTAAACATGCTCCAGGTGGATTGCCTGATAAACATTGTTCAGTGCTCTTATAACTGTTATATTATGGATAACTTAGTAGTTGAACAAATGATTTACTTTTTGGTACAAAAATGTTAAGATGTTACACTTTAACTCAGGTCACAAGTAACACTGAGGAGATTCCAATAATCTATTTGTATATAATTACAAATCATATGCATCTGTATTTCCGTAAGTGATGAACATATTTAATGTAAAGAAATATATTAATATATCTTGTTAGCTTTTTGAAACAATGCTGTCAGGAATTAGAAACCTGTTAAGACTTTAAGCTTTTCAGAGACAGCTGATGTTTGCAATATTTTACCATCAAAATATCTGAATGTATAAAATGTGTAGAAGAAAGAATAGAGCAATGAACAAGACACTAGGGGATAAGTTAAGGATTTATAAGTTAAAAATAATAAGAAATTAAACACTTGCTAGTTATTGCTTTCATGCATAATATTTTCTTTGAGGAAATGAGAATAGATTTCACTTGCATAATGTTAAATTAAAAAACAAACACAAACCCCCTTTCTTAAGATTTTCATACTTCAACTGTAAAAATCCTGGAGTTGCCTCTGTAGAAGTAACATTTAATAGAGACAACTATACAAATAAGGGGTTGACTTTGGATTCCTCACCATGCTGATTTTATTTTCTGCCTTCTTTACCCATTGTCCACTTATCTTTTCCTTCTTTATGGGAGATTCTACCTAGATAGATCACAGTACCTGCTATGTCAGCCACCTCCTACAAGCTGGCACACCCCCTTAAGCTGCACAATTTTGACATATTAAATTAAATCTCTGGCTTTACATTGAGAAGTTTCTTTTTCTTTGTTATGTTTGGTTTGTTTTACTCAGTAATTTGGTGAATATTCCTTAATGATGAAGGTGCATGAGAGAAAGAAAAGGAAGGGGATGAATACACATTTTTGATTATTCTCTAAAATTTTCCAGTAGTTTGACATTTTAATCATAATAAAACTAATATTGTGTGTTAGTTTTTTTTTACGTTTATTGCATTTCTCATGAAAATTGTGGGCTAAATGTGAACTGTCCCATTTCTCTTATTACTTTCTTCAAGTGTTCATAATGTCACTCTCAATGCTCCTCCTCTCTTATTTAATCCAAGCTATTTCACCTGGGTCTATCTTCTTCACTGTCAGAACTGGAACTTGCTGAATCACAAATGCTGCAGTGGCAAAGACTGCAGTAGCCCAAACCCTGCTACCATACTGGTACAGTGCAGCATGTTCTGTTATTAACCACTTAGAAACCTTCTCAAGACCCTAGTGTTGAATTACAAACCCAGTTTTTCCCTATAATATCTTTGGCTATTTTTTGATCTCTGATAATTCACCATCATCTGACTTATTAGGTATTTATGATCAAACCTATCATCTGTTTCATCATTGTTATCTCCATCATCTTCTATCTGTATCTTTTGTAGGCATGTCTAATTTACTATACATGAAGCTAATAATGTATGGGACTTCTTAGGATAGTCCCTTAAATGTAATATGAACTAAATTCTTTTTAATTATACTCATGATTTGGAGAGACAATGTTTGTGCATATAAACTCAAAAGGCTAATAAATCCAATTTTATTGCTATGATTTGACATTACTTGTAATATATTTAGTTTAAAATTATTATTCTCAAATACCACAAGCAGACTCTATGTTATCTCCCACTAATTAGCTTCCACAGAGATGACCGAATTTGTAAATGGAAACTACCCTTCAAATAACTCTCCAAATACTCATGGGAGTCATGACTCATCTCCTAATCTCATGCTCCACACACAATCCATCTTCTTGACAATACCTTCAAAGTATATCCAGGCACTGACAAATCCCTGCCACTTCTACTGAGAGCATGCTTACATATTCACTCTCTGTTGTCATTATCACCTACAGTGTTTTCCCTACATGGCAACCAGAGCCTAGCTGTTAAATTGTGTCAGATAATACACTCCACCTGGCATTTAGGCCATGCCTTCCTTTGGTTTTTAACAGTCACATTTTCCAACAGGCTGTTTCTTACTGTTGAATCTTCATTGCACGCCCACACAATTTTTTTCTTTCCCTTTTCTACCTCTGTTACTATATAATACTGTTTTTTTTTTTGTGTGTGTGTTGTTTGGTCTGACTGTCATATGTTGATTGCATTCATAAACCCAGAGGTTTTATTGTTTTTTTCAGTTCAGCATCTTCTGCATTTAAAACAATGTTTGGCACTGTTTTAGTGAATATGTGTTTGGTAAATGACACCTGTTCAAAATGAAAGCCTGGATATTGCTCTCCTGTTCGGAAGTGATAGTTTAAAATCTGAGTGGCATAACCAAAGGATAAACACTTCGTTGTAAACAAATCAAGTTGTAAGTAAAGGAAATGTAAATCTACTTCCACACCAAGACTTTGCTTTACATCCTTCCATTAAATGAAGGATTTCTCCTTATTTTTTCTCATAGATGGTTTTACATATAATTTATATTTAAATTAGAGTATAATTTCAATAGACAATTTTATTTATTTATGCCCAAGGCTATATTGATTTTAATGAATCCGCCTAGAGATTTTCATTTAACTAAACAATTTTATGAATGAGTAAAGTAATAGAACAAATTAATAATAATAATCCAATAATAATGATACAATGAAGACTTTGAAAATACATGGTGTCATTCCTAAGAGATTATTGGGATATCAAAATATAAGAGCCTACATGAAAATATATTTTAAGGAAATAGTGAATTATTAACATTTAGCTCACATCATTATCTCCTGTAGTTAAAAATATCAAAAGCTTATCTGCTGATAAGTCATATATTCAAGAGAGTGCAAGGACTTAAAACACCCTGAGTGATAAATATTCCTGTATCTTCCCAGTCTGTTTTAAATTTATTCAAAAGAAAATGAGGTGCCTTTCTTTTGTTCTTTTGTTTATTCTTTGCCCCAACAGGTCCTTTCTAAATAGTTCATAGAAATAAAGCTCCAAGCCACCCCCCCTATACACCACAACAATAGTTCACATATATTGCTACTTTTACAAAACAGCAGAGACAATAATAGAATTAGATCACCTTAAAAGTGTGTCTTTAAATAATACCCAGGAATTCTGAAAATTTTGAACTGTTAGATAGTGTCACCTTAAATACTTCCTGCAAATTATAACCAGCATGTTGGTTTCCTAAGTTACTCTACTCTAAATCGAATATGATGTTTTCCCTAATTTGATACTGGCTTTTTTTTAATTTTTTAAATTTCACATTATTGCCACTAAAAGATTGTTGTTTATTTTCATCCACCTTTTATCTGCATCCCCAGGATCCTCCCTGTTTCTCCCACACTTTGTCACCTCTGCTTTATTATGAGTCCTATTCCCTTATTTTTCTATGGTATAGATTGATACAACTAGCAGCTTATGTTTTTTTTTTATTAGATAGTGTATACCATTTCTTAGTCATGAAAAAGAATATCATCATTTACCATTTTAGTATAAGAAACACTCAAATATGGTTTTCCCTTACTATTTGAGGCAGAAGATAAGTCTTGTATGGTTTATCTTTTTACATACAAAAAATAAAGTAGTATCAATTAGAATGTAAACATAAATAAAACACAGGCCTTAAGTCAGTTAACAATAAATTGAGATGACATTCCTTCAAGTTTTTAATTGAAAATAGATTCTTCTCTTGCACAATACATTCAGACCATATTTTTTCCTCTCTCCACCCCTCCCTCTTCTCTTCCAACTCCCTTCTCCCCATTTCCACTCTACCTTCATTTTCCTTCAGAAAACAGCAGGCCTCCAAAGGACAACAAGAAAATGCAAAGGGACAAGGTACAATAAGACAAGGCAAAAGCCCTCCTACTGAGACAGGACAAGGCAACTCAATAGTAGGAAAATGATTGGAAAAGTATTTCCACTTTAAAGTCCCCTTGTATTTTTATTGGAAAGATAATGGTAGTATATACTTATGGGTACAATGGCTACTTTGATACATGTATACACTGTGGAATGTTAGTAGATAATCAGACTAATTAGCATATCTATTGCTATAAATACTTCCATATTTTTATGTGGAGAAAATTTAAAAATCCTTTTTTAGTTATTTTTAACTATTAGTTATTACTGAGTATAATCAGTTTTACCTGTAAAAAACCTCCAGATTTTGTTATTCTGAACAACTATTTAAATTCAA